CAGCCATAAAAACCCCTCCTTATTCTGACATTTTAATTACAGCCTTCAAAGGTCCGTCAGACTTGACTGTAGCTTCCCAACTGGTTTTCGGAGATTTTGTAATTTAAAAAAAAAAAAAAAAAGTAACAAGGAGAGAGAAAGAAAAAAAAAAAGACAGAAGAATAAAACATTTCTGTGTCTCAGACTGCCCAGAGCTGGGGTCCAGCAGCGCCGGCCAGCGGCACAGAGACCGGGGAGGCTGTGAGTTCCCTTACGGCGGGGTGGCACGCCGAGAGGTCACCGTGGCCACGCTGCAGCACTGCCCGTACCCCCCGATGGCTGCCTCCTTGCTGCCGGGGCTCAGGTACCCGCGCTCGCCCTGCAAGGTGGTCCTGGGATGGGCACCCTCCCAGCAGCCTCTTGCTGGACCGGAGAGAGCCCGTTGCTTTGCAGTGGGACAGCTTGGGCAGGAAGGGGTTACCAAGCACCCCAAAACCTCTCTCTGTCTCCTCCAGAGCCTGGCATTTGTAGATGCTGTCCCTCCATCCTGGGTCTCCCCCCGGGCGGGCTGTGGGGTGCTGGGAGGGACCTGCTGCTTCTCCAGCCTTGGGGCACTTGAGGGTTTCTGGTGTCCCCAAGCTGAGGCTGGTGCTGCCACCCCATCCCTCTGCTCCGGCCCCTTGGCTGCGCTGGGCACCCACAGCCCCCATTGCCGTGGCTCCTCCGGTGCCACCACCTCTCCCTCCGTCAGCCTCGGTTTCCCTTCCCTGCTCAGTCCCAACCTCACTCCCATTTCTCCCAGTGGGTCCCAGCTGGACTCAGGCCACGCAGGAGCCGTCCTGATGCGACGTGGCCCATGGCCGCTCCTCACCTCCAAGGAAGCCCAAAGCTCAACATCGAAGGAGAGTTTGTGCCCCAATTTCCTCCAGAAGAAAGCTGTGGTTGCAACTGGGCAAGCTCAGCTGTGGAAGCTGTTACAGAGGGACATGCCCCAAGCAAACAGCCCCTTTCCTCGCTGCTTAACTTCTTCAGTATTGAACATTTTCAGGTTTCCTCCGGGTCTATCAGGGCAAGATACCAAAGGAAAAAAAGCTGTGATTAATTAAGCTCATGAATTCAAGGGCTGGCCCTTCCCAGCCTCCAGCCTGGCAGCTGGGAGCACCAGCCTGGGCTGGGGTGGGTGGCCAAGGTGGCGTTCATCCTTTGCGCCCTACGTGGTGGGTCACCCCACACCGGAGCCGAAACCCCGAGCAGCCCCTCCGCATTCGCTCCGCTCTTGCGTCACCCCGCCGATGTGCCCAACGGCTCACGGGAAGCGCCGGCTCCGGCTGCCAACCGGTCGCTTGTGGTTTCAACCCCGCAGACGGGGGCCAAGCGACGCAGCGGCGAAGCGTGGGCGTTCGTGTGAGCACGACTTTTTTTCTAGCAGTTATGTGCTTGCTTGGAAGGGTCCCGTCTCCCTGTGGGTGGCACCTCCTCGTCCCCAGGCCCCCCTAAGCACCCCTTTCAGTGGTGTCCGCTGAGCACGGGGGGCAGAGGAGGTGGTGGGGTCCCATGGGTGGAGGTCCTGCCGTGGTGATGCTGAAGCCCAGGTCTGGGTGGGCGCGTTGCTGCCTGAGTGCTCCCACCGCTTCTCGGTTAGGATGGAGGGAGGGACCTCACCGAGCTCCCATCTGCCTGATTTTAGCAGCTGATCATCAGGCAGAGGAGTCCCACCGTGACGCCGATGGTGGACATCTCCTCTAGCTCCAGGGAGGAGCTCCCCTCTGCAGCCATCCCTGTTGCTGCGCCCGTGCATCCCAGGTGAGCGCGCTCCATCCCGTTGCACGTGGAGAACGGGACCTCCAAATCGGGCACCGGGTCCCACGGAAGCCCCTCGCGCTTTCCCGCTGACGGGATGGCTTGTCGTGGCCCAGCCTCCTGCTGGGGACAGGGTTTCTTGGGGGGTTCCCCCAGACTGGTGAAGATGCTGAGGGCCTGAACATCTCCAGATCCATCCCTCCTTGCCCCGAACACCTTCCCCCCTCAAACTTTCTGTGTCTTTGGTGACAACCGCCATGACCGTGACTGTGAGCACTGAAAAACCCCAAGACCTTGGGTCAAATTATTGTCCTTTCCTTAGAGCTGATGTTTTGCTCATTTTTCAAATAAGTCCATGTAAGAATTTTTTTTTAAAAAAAGACTCAACAAAACGTTACTTTTAAAATCGTTTTTTAAAAGATAACTTTACCCTTTTTTTTTCAGACAGGGTTGGAAGCCTGAGTCTCCACATCACGAAGAGGTATTTCCCCTTTATTTTTAAAGCACATTTTATTTTTTTGAAAGAAAATTTCTATTTCTAAAGGTGGTTTCATTTTTCATATGTAAAATACTTCCTCTGATGCAGTTCACGAAGCCATCCACAAGCCTATTTTTAGTGGAATTTTTATTTTTTTAAGCACATTCAGATCTTTTTAAAGGCTGCGGTCAGCTCCCGGGAGCAGGGAATCCACTCACGGTGTACATAAAAATGAGGATTATATAGGAAAAGGTAGTCTGAGCCTTGCTGTCGCTTCTCGTTGGATTCTCTGGTGTACAATAAAGTGTGATCGCTAATTGAAACTCTGCTGTTGGGGCCTTTGTAAATGCTTCTCTCCCACCTGGATTATTTTGGGTTGCATGCTTGTTGCAGCCTTGCTTACAGGGACTTTTTTTCCCCCCCTTCTCTGCTATAACGAGCAAAACCACCTGATTCTTTTTTACCCGATTTAATTAAAGCTGGCCGAGCAGCAGCGCTGATGGAGGGTGCAGGGGTGGGCACGCGGCCGCGCCGCCTCGTGCTCAGGGCATCACCATTTCCTTAGGAAACAAGAAGATTGAACGCTGGAAAATTCCCCCTGGACTTTATTGGGATTGTCTGGAAACCCCGAAACCCCTCCGTCATCCCCCCAGCATCTCTGCGTCCCCCAAAAGCGCCTGGATCCCCCCCGAGCAGCGCCGCTCCCGAGATGCCCCCAAACTCTCCCACTCCTGCGGGGAAGAGGGAAGGGCTGCGTGCGACGTCTCCAGCCTTATTTTCCAATCATTTCAAAGAAATTGGGTTGTTCCAACAGAGTGATTGTGAGACACGTCCACGGATACGAGTGAGCAGAAGGCGTCGTGAGCCTCGGGGTTCGGCAGCCCCCCCAAAATCCGCTTTGCACGCCAGGCAGTGGTGCAAACCGTGGTGTCACTACGGTGCAGACCTTCAGAGCAGGACACAACCCATGAGCCGTGCTGGGCTCCGCGCTCGGTCCTTGGCCAAACCCTTGGTTGCTGCGTTTTCACATCCCCGGGGGGCTCTAGGAAGCGGTGAGGACCAGGCCAGCGAGGGACGGCTCCAGCCCTTCCCATCATCCCGAGAGGCGTTGTCCTGCCTGGTCCCGGCAGAAGGCAGCTGCCTGCATGTCCTGGCTGCAGGCGGTGGGGGATGCGGGGAGGACCAAGCCCGCTGAACTGGGGACATCGGCTTCCCTGCAGGCTCGGGAAGCAGGCAGCTAGTACCGGAGTAGGTAAGTCGACTATAT